TGAAGAACTTTTCAAGGGCAAAAGCAAAAGAAAAGCTGAAATCAAAGAAAAGGAGAAAGAAGAAGAGAGAGCTGATTGGTCGAATCTCGATGCTAATATATTGGAACTCATCGTTGATCAACTCACCATCGATATTTTTGATTGTATTCGTTTCCGTGGCGTCTGTAAGGCATGGCATTCTAGCAACCTTTGCAAGCATCCTCCCCAACTCCCATGGTTGCTCTCGAGATATGACGACGACATTAATCGTCTCACCTTCTGCTCCTTATCAGATAACAAATTACACTCGATTCAACTTCCAATAAATGGCAGAGCTATCGTTGGCTCATATGATGGATGGCTAATTCTCCATCACAAAAGTTCTTTCCTTGTTACTATCCTAAATCCTCTCACAAGTGCACATATCGATCTGCCAATGCTCCCAAGTGATTTTAGATATCTTGGCCCGCCATCGTTAAAGTTCGCAATGTCTTCGAACCCCTCAATAAAAGATCAGCAATGCATCATCTGCATTATCTATTCCCCAGGCTATACTCTTTTATCTACTCATGTAGGTGAGGATGATGAATGGACCTCGGTGGAACGCACGAGTTTATATTATGATGTCATTTATTTCGAAGGAAGCTTTTATACTGTAAATGATAAAGGACAGATCTTCATGTTCAATTCCTTATTTGAGGAAGTGGCTATCATCGATCATCAATTGGAAATAATTGGCCCATTTTGGGAATTCGTGGAGTTATCGGGAGAGCTTTTAATCCTTCAAAACATTATGATTATGGACCCTCATGACAATGGGATAGAGAATTTAAGGATTTACATGACAAAGAAGATAGATATTCGAAAGTTAAATATGAAAGGTCTACTGCCATCATTAGAGGAGGTAAAGAGCATAGGCAACCACGTACTTTTCTCCGGAATTAATTCTCGCCCCATCACAGTGCCGGTTACTCAATACCCTCGTGAAAAACATGACACTATCTATACACCTCATATTTATATGATGGGTGATGATGAACAAAATGTACATTGTATAATTGAAATATATGATTTAAAGAACGACTCTTTGAGGCCAATACCACATAATGAACTTGAAAGGATGTGCACTGACATTTTACCCATGTGGTTTGTACCATCCTTATTTTAGTATTTTTTTTTACCACCTTAGACAATTACTAAGTCTTACTATCCCCGTACTATAAACGATGGATTATAATTTTTTGATGTATTTCATGAATCTCATTAACTTATTTTTCTATTTAGTTTTATTTGCTTCTTATATCTTGAATAGTTTTATTTTAATACATTGAGATAACATTCTCTATATTATGATGTATTTCATGGATATTTATATTTGTAAATAACTTGTTGAATAATGTATATCTTTATGATGATGGCAACTAGTTTTTTTTTTCTTCTTTCAGTAACAATAATAGTGGGACATCAATTGTTTATTTGATCTTATGTTCTATTATCATATTCCAACTTAAGATGCTATATCACTTTTATGATATATGCATCCAATCATGATCTCAGCATTAATATTGATATTGTTACAAGAAAATATTATTGATATTCTAGTCAGCTCGATATGATTTGATTCTGACTTGCGTGCACAAGGATGTTCAAGGTGTGGCTAAGATGCCTCCGAGATAAAAACGTCAAGCTTTGGAAGTGCCACATGTATGAAGACTAAGGTTGAGAGGAATTTCCCGACCTGATCCCTTGGATGACTAAGTTAGTAACTTGATGCAGATGGGTATGATAATGAGTGGTGAAAAGTGATCCATGTAAACCCATTGAAAGTAAGATTTTATACTTAATAGTAAATGAAAAAATATTCTAATATAGTATATTTTATAAGGAGGTGGCCTTTAACCATCTCCAACAACCTTAAATCGATCTTTTACCAACGTAGGCGATAGGGGTAGATATAACTTATAACTATTTGCTTTAGACCCATATCCACATGGATAGATTAGTGGAGGACAACTTTGGTCTCTTTATAGTTTGTACATCAGGTAGAAGCCATATGTTGGATGATAATTGGTCATTCATATCTTCTTTATCATTTATCCCCTCTGAAGCCATGCTTCGAGGGCTCATTGACGAGTGTCGGGAAAACCAACGTTTGGGCCATTTGACATGTTAATTTTATGCTTCTTTGATCACTTTTTCCAAGAAAGAGTAGGAGTTCTCAACCAACTTACTTTGGGATGCCTAAAAGGGATCGAGGTACCACTTGACCTCCCCACGAAGGACCTGACCTCCCCACCTCGGGTAGCAAGGGGTTGGGATCTCAACCTCTGCACCTCGAGCAACAAGGGGGGTCGAGGTCGGACATTCGCAACTCGATCACTTGGGGGTTAGCAGTTTCCAACCTCTACACATTAGACAATGATGGCGGTCGACACTCGATCTCCACACCTCGAGCAAAAAATTTTCATAATAATCTTACATTCACAACCAAAGAGATAATTTTCATCAGCCAAATCGAAAAGATTAGCTCTGGTGAGACCTAAAAGGCCAAAATTATATCAGATGTTTATCCATCTCAAAGAAATGCATAAAAATCGTCTGATCATACAGAATGTCATCCCAATCTATAAATAACTAAATCAAAACCATTTGAGATATAAAAATAAAATCAAACTAAACAGAATTATTAAGTTTATTGAGACTCAAGAACTAGACCATTTGAGATATGGCTTGAAAGAGTCTTTCTCTTCCAAGTCATACACCCCTTGTCTCTGATAAGTAGCCTCATTGATACCAAAATGTAACTCAAACATGAAGAAAAACTAACCTAGATCCGGAGATGCATATTAATTAAAATATTTTGGGCTTCACAGATTAGCTATTTTGATGCTGAAACCTGCTAGGGGCAGCTTCGAAGTTGATGTGGATGTCGCTATTTATTTTGTCTTCAGAGAATAGTATTGAGATCAATCCTTTTTGTCAATACTATTGTCGATATTGTCGTCAAAACACATCTGCCAAAACTAATTCTCTATCACGAAACTTCTTGGTTCGTTTCTATCCCAAATCCTCTCACAAGTGCTCATGTCGATACTCCCGAGTTATTTAACGAATAGTGAAGTTTCTTATACGTCAATATTAAAGGTCGTAACATCTTCAAACCTCTTAATAAAAGATGATGCAAAGATTAAGATTGCATCATCTGTATTATCTCTACTCCGGACAGTGCTTTTTCCTCTACCCGTGAGGACGATGAATAGACCTTGATGGATGGCATGAGTTCGATGTTATTTATTTCAAAGGAAACTTTTGTGCTGTAGATGCAAGTGCGCATATCTTCTTGTTCAATTTCTTATTCGAGAAAGTGACTATCATCGATCATCAACAGGAAAGAATCGATATATCATGGCAATTCGTAGAGTTATCAAGTGAGCCTGTAGTCCTTCGAAGCACTATGATTATGGACCTTGATGACAATGAGATAGAGAATTTAATGATTTTTAAGATAGAGAAGATAAAGATCCTAAAGTTGAATACGAAATATCTACTGCCATCACCGGAGGAGATGAAGAACATAGACAACCATATACTTTTCTTAGGCATCAATTCTCGATCCAATACTCTCATGATAAACATGATAATATCTATATTCATCACATTTATATTGTGAAGGAGGATGAAAATGATTTATATTGTACTCCTGAAATATATGATTTAGTATACTTCTTTTTTAACTACCTTACATAATAATAACTAAGTCTTATTGTCCTCTAACCTTCTCGATTTATTTCTTGAGTCAAAATATCCTATTTTTTTTACTTATTTTGTTTGTATCTTTATATATGGAATGGTTTTGAGTTAATACACTGAGATAATAATCTCTGTATTATGATGTATTTCATGAATATTTATATTCGTAAATAATTCTTAGCATAATCTACATCTCTATCTATCATGATGGCAACACTTTTTTTTTTTTTATTTCTATGAGTTTTAGCAATAATTATAGCTTCCAACTCAGGAAGCTGCATCACTCGATCGCTCCAATTACCATATGCTATGATGGAGTGGCAACAGGGAAAGGATTTCCAGATTACGGGAAACAATAAACAATTAATCTTTTGGTGGTGGATAGTTTATTTCATGAAGCTATTGTTCTATAGAACAAGCAAGAAAAAGGTGGCCGGCACTTATTTCCCAGCATAGTGCTTGGCATTCTCGAGTGATTGGTAGCAATTGCTCGCAATCGAAGTTTAAGTTAACGCAATTTATATAGTCATGTGATCGGTGTTTAAGATTCTGCTGAACAAAAAATTACTATTTGTTCTCTATGCACACCAAGAAACAAGAACAACATAAATCGGAATCCCAATGCTTTCAACAAGAAGCATCTTATTACTACTCGTATGGTGGGTGCACTTAATGGTTGTTAGAAATGATTCGGAAGAAACGATCAAACTTAAATCAGAACCATCGATTCTAAAATTGTTCTTTGTCGATTTGATTTCGATTATTCTTTAAGCGTATTGACAAGTTTCCCATTTTACCACAGCTTCCTTTTAGCCCACAAGTTGGAGATTCGAGCTCAATTAAGCCCATGGGCTGGCTGGTGGCCCATTACTGTCTCCGCTGCCTATATATAATCTGATCCGCCCCCTTTCTTTTCCCGCCACTCCTCTTACTCTCTACCGCAGTTGCTCCTCCGATTCCTCCTCCTCCGGCTCCCCGCGACGATGCTGTGGGTCGACAAGTACCGGCCGAGAGCTTTAGACAAGATCATCGCCCACGAGGAAATCGCCCAGAACCTGAAGAAATTGGTGAGATCTCCTAAAACTCTTCGTCTAGGGTTTTGGCTGCTTTCCTTCTTGCTTGTTTTGGTGGTGCCTGCGGGATGTAGGTGATCTTCGTGTGGTGGATCCGTTGGTAGGTGTCGGAGCATGACTGCCCCCATCTCCTCTTCTATGGGCCGACTGGTTCCGGCAAGAAAACCCTAGTCATGGCTCTTCTTAAGCAAATGTTTGGCCCTGGGGTTGAAAAGGTATCTGCACACCACTGTTTATTTTCCTTCCTCTTGTGGTTAGATGTTCTTATTTCTTTGTTTTTAATGTAGTTGTGTTTTCTTTTTCTCATTTCTTTCTGTTGGCGATTGCAGGTGAAATTGGAGAACAAGATGTGGAAGATTGATGTAAGTTGAAGCTCATGATCTCCTTTTCTTGGGTTACTTAATTCTTCCAATGATACGGGCTTTAGTGATGAACAAACTTCATGGGCGATGTGAGAATTCCTGTAGCAGACTTTGCCCCCCCAAAGTGGGACTTGGGCCTCTTTGCCACAGCTGGCTGCCGTCTTGGTTGCTTGCTTTAGAAATTCAGTTTATTTCTTTACTCGAGGGATTCCCGCTTTTCTTCACAAAAATAGAAAATTTGGAGTCCCTTCCTATTATAAGGCACTCATTGAGGCTGATGGGATCTTTCACTAAGTCGATTTTCTGTGCAGGCTGGTACACGTAAGATAGAGCTGGAGTTGACGACGTTATCGAGCACACATCATGTTGAGATGAATCCCAGCGATGCAGGTTTCCAGGATAGGCATATTGTTCAGGAGATTATCAAGGAAATGGCAAGAAACAGACCTGTGGATACTAAAGGCAAAAAAGGGTTCAAAGGTAATTACCCTTTAGTTACTTGGGGTTTGTTTTCCTTTTGTTTTATCTAATGTTGGGAGATTCCCAGATGGCTTTTGCATTTCAGAAACCATATTTATCTAAGCTATAATGAGTTTCACTTTATGCTATTTATGTTATAATAGGCATGTAAGGTTACATCTAGGGACTGATGCAATTAACTTTAGCATATAATGTAAAATGCACAACGTCATAATCACTAACTAATGGTTCTGAGTTCAGTGTACTAACATGTAGATTGTAATAATGACTTAGGTGATTATGCCATGTGGCCCGTCATAGACCAAGATTTTGCATTGTGTTCTTTTTGAGGATGTGGTCACTTTCTAAACATGGATTTTCTTAACGAGCTACCTCGTTTTCCTGCATAAAGTTGGAGCGGAACTTTTGAAAGTCGATTTGAAACATCAAGTACTTCACTTGGAAGATGCTCCGCATCCTCCAATGTACAGTAGATTGTGATGTTATGGCCTTTTCAATTTTAGTTGCCACAAGAGTCTCACAACCAACGCTAGGCATATTCCAAAATATGTTTACACAGTTTATGCCCATGGTGGGATGATAATATTGTCACTTAATGTTAATTGAATTTGAAAATGAAGTTCCTTTGTATGTTTCAATGCTTCTTTAATAGATAGTTCATAACTTTTAACTGCATGGTGCTGGTAGGCTGGTAATTCAGGTATATGCATAAAGGAATAGAAGAATATATACCATTCTATCTAATGATCATGCTATCTTATTTCCTTTCGGATGAAACTGTCTTTGTCACTTGATAAATCAAGTTGGCATTATTAAAGGCACTCAAACAATCTATGTCTGCAAATCTGAAGTCTGTGGCTCCTGTTATCATTGGAACATGTAAAAAGTCCTACATCATGGAAAACTACTGAACATCAAGTTCAAAATGCTATAGCTAAGAGCTGTTACACAAGTTGATATAAAATCATCTTGTCGGGTCATATGGTTTACTTTAGTCGTACCATAAGCTAGAAATTTTAGGCTTATATACAGATATGTGTTAAACAGCCAAAACTTGATGAGAAAAAAATGACCATTAAATTCCTTGAGTTTTTGCTGGGTAAGGATAAAGTATTATTTTAGAATCTCCTGAGGTTAACTACTGTGAATCACGTGGTCAACTCACTCTCTTTCGGAATGGAAATTTGTGGTTGAAAGAATTCCTGATGGAAGTCTGTGGTCCAAACTGACTTTATATTTGGGGTTAGTTAACTTGATTCAACTCAGAAGCCTGAGATAAAACCTAATTTGGCCTCACTTGATTTTACCTGATGAGATCATCTACTATGGTGCATCCCTATTGGTCAGGTATTATTGTCTTGTATCAGCTTCTGATTCAACTGTTCTTGTCACAACGGGCCTCAGCTTGGTAAGAAGCAGAACATGCACCTATACCAAGTTAATGGAATTTGTTGCAAATTCATTCCTTGCAATAGACCTGCACTAATCTCTATGCCTATTAAAATCTCTACCCCTTATAAGGCATCTTAAGTTTGGTAAACTTTTTCTTAGAATTTCTGGAATAAGTCTACTGATCAAGGTATTGATATGGTTTCCTAACTGGCAGTATTGGTGCTGAATGAAGTTGACAAGCTGTCAAGAGAAGGTCAACATTCTCTCCGTAGAACAATGGAAAAGTATAGTGCATCATGCAGGCTAATCTTGTGCTGCAACAGCTCATCAAAAGTAACGGAGGCTGTCAGGTCTCGCTGTCTGAACATTCGAGTGAATGCACCTACTGAAGAGCAGGTTGGTACCTGGATTGGGATGAACATAACTGCATCTCATTGGATCTTAGATCTCTGTGGATGTGTTTATTTAGTCTGTTTCTCCAGTTCTGTGGTTAGGAATACATAACTTTCTATGCTAATGTCTTTTGTATTCTTCGAGAGCTGGCTTTATGAAGTAAAATAAATAAGAGATCTTTATACTAAACACTGTCACAATGAAATGCAAAAACCCAGGTTTGCAGAGTGTAAAGCAATCTCCAGTTCTTGCAAAACATAATTCTGTAATAAAATCCACATGGAACAAGGTCAAATGCTTGATGCATGGATTGTTCAGTTGACAATTTGATATAGCCACTTAATGTTTTTTGTCTTATTTGTATTGCTCTTTTTGTCTGTAGTGTGATAGTTACTTCATAAATGGTTATTTATGAGTTAGTTTTTATGTTCATCTATATATTTTAGATTCAATAACTGTGAACTAATTTCGAACATTTAGTTCTGGTGTATTTTTTCATTCATATGCGATCAGTGAGTAACATATTTGGTTAGTTAATTTGGAATTCAACAAGGTTGCCGTTGTCATGTGAAATTTGGATCAAATGTTTTTTTGTGAGGATTATTTTTCAGATAATTGGTAGTTGTATATAATTTAGTTAGATGACTAACTTATCAATATCTTAAAAAGATACAGATGCTGCCTACATGGATATGGGATTCCAAGTTGAATTGTTTGTCTTGTTGAACTTTCTTGTTGGAGTCTAACACAAGGTAGACAATTTCGAATAATACCGCCCGGTACGGGCGGTATGTACCGGTCCGTCAGCTTACCGGTACATGGACCGCTCGTTACGGACAGAATGATATATATATATATATATATATATATATATATATATATATATATATTATAAAAGGCGATGTCACCGAGGCGACGCGATGTCGCCTTATATATAAGAATATTTATATATAAATATATATAATCTTATATATATATATATATAAGATTATCGTACCGAGCGAACGTCGAAACTCTGGTACGGTACGAAATTGCATAGCTTGGTCTAACATGCCCAAAGGAAAATAGGCTTTGAGTGAAACAAGTTCATAAAGACTGATAGATGAGGCATGTAGTGGTGCATTTTGATAGACTAAATTTGAAACTATGGTATAATCTGGTGATGATGGTGTAGGAAAGAAGAAACAACAGTATTATTATTATTATTATTTAATTTTTTCTACTTTGATCGACCCCTTTATTCCTTGAACATCTTTTATGGGCTTTTTGTGGGGTGTTTTGTGGCGTTGGGGAGAGGTGAGATGTAGATTGAGGTAAATGGGACAAGTTCACAAACACTAGCACAATATCTACTTCCTGATGTTTTTGAATTATTGTAAATATTACATTCAAATTGGCTTTTATCGTGCATTTCTCTAAATGGACTAGCCTAAGCAAGGACTGATGCGGAGATTCACTTGTAGGAAGTAGTAGCCCCTCAATTTCAGGAAGTGACTTAGTTCTTAGGCTGTGCATATATCTAGATACTTTTATCATTATGATTACATAATCATTTAGGTGCTCCATGCAATTAATAGAAATGTATTTTCGTATGATAAATTCCTATGGCAAAAGTCATCAGATAGAAATTATCATGCTACATTTATAATAACTTGTTGACCTAGATTTCCTTTAGATGGAAGCTATGTAAGCAGCAGTCAGATAATAAATTATTGTTTGACACAATTACATTGGATTAAACTGTCATTTGCTTATGTCAAATGTTGGCTCATGATCATAACTAATTTTCTTTTTTCAGCTAAATAGTGTCACTGAATACCATTCAATAATTGAGTGGTAGTCCATTTTGGTCAATTATTAAATGCCATGTTATTCTACAAGTAAATGAGTTTGACATGGCTAAAATTTTTTATCAGTTTCATATAATTGGATCGATGGATCAAATAGTATCATGATATGATATCCTAGTGCAGTTGTATTTTAACTAAGATATACAGTTCTTTGTATGTCAGATTGCTTGTGTTTCTAGGCAGATGTTTTCAGACCTATAGATACTTGAAATTGTATCTTGAATATATCATGGTAAATTTATTGTATTTTCTTATAAACTTCAGTTACATGTATGTCTTTTATCAGTTAGTGCCCAGCATGCTTATGTTTGTTAGTCTTGGGTCCTAGATTTTATTGGTCAATTTCCAGTCTTCCATAATTTAAAAATCTTGCATGTTATATTAATTAGATTATCAAAGTATTGGAGTTCATTGGCAAGAAGGAAAACCTGCAACTTCCACCTGGATTCACAGCACGTATAGCAGCTCAATCAAACCGTAATTTAAGAAGAGCAATATTGTCTTTTGAGACCTGTCGAGTGCAGCAGTAAGCTCTTTAGCATGTAGTCCGTACAATAATTCCATGCAAGTTATACATCAGATATCTGTCTACTGTATACCTATGCTTGTTTTAGTTGATTGTAGGATTTATACAACACTTGCATCCTATTGACTTCAGTTGATTAATTTTAGAATTGCATGTTACTGCTATAGGTATCCATTCACCGTAAACCAGGCATTGCCACCCTTGGATTGGGAACAATATGTTTCTGAAATAGCATCTGATATAATGAAGGAACAGAGTCCTAAAAGGTCTGTTTTTTTTCTTCATTGGTTCTCTACATTTTGTGAATGTGAAGCTTAGCTTTTTATTTGTTCTTCTCATTAGCATCTCATTATAGACTCCTCTTTCCATTTTTTGTGCATAAATATACTTCATTGGTTCTCTACTTTATGAATGATATAATTCAGTGCCTACTGAAATTAATAGGATGAATACAACAAAAACCTTTTGTTCTAGCCCTAGAAATTTGGCTCATTGCTCATCAGAATATTATTTATGCAAATATATCTCGATGGCATGATTATGCTAGGCTATCAAAATTTTTCCTTCAAACCAAGGTTTTGAATATCATACCGTATCAATGTACCGATCAGTTGTCGTTATGGTACGTTCCAAGCTGTATTGAGCGTGCCAACATATGATACACTAAGGTGTATCGATGTATCGCCTGTATCGGTCCTCTATTAGATCGGAATGTATCACCCGTACCGAGCAGTATGATACGGTATTACAAACCATGCTTCAAACCAACTAATGCTAAAAATAGCAATTATGTAGTAGTAATATACAAATAATTATACTTTTGAACAAGGAACAACAAGGAGAAAATAGATAAATTACATAGATTACTTAGCTCACTTGAAAACATGAAAAAAGTATTAAGTTATTATGGCTGAACAAATTTGTATGTTATTTGTTTCAATAATTATCAGAATGCTTTCTCAAGGCCTAAAGTCTCCTCAGGTTCTGAATACTAATTGGATCAATGTGTGTTGACCAGTATCAACTAGTCCAACTAGGGACCATAATCAGATGATATAGCTTGGTGATTGGTATTCATTTTTTTATTTTTTTTCAATGAAGCTGGATCGTACAGATTGGTAGATTGCCAAATGTACTCATACCACACTGATCTGATATGCTATAATAGTATTGGGCTGCTTTGTTCACCCTGTTGTATTAGAAAGTGTGCTTGCATGATTTCTTACATCTGCATTTCTGTTTCAAGATGTTGCTATGCAATCTGTTGGATCTAATTTTATAACATAGTCTCACATATTTTCATTACAGTTGTTTAAAGTTTCTTATCATATAGATTCAATCTGAAATCAACTTTCCTTTTTTTGCCAATTTATCCTTAAAAAATTAAGGAAATCGTGTTAATAAACCTATGCCATGCTAAAAACTTCCATATTTCATTTTTTTCCATTGCTCTTTGGCAAATACTTCTGAACTGTGATAGTGCACAAGTTCTTCTCAACCTTTTGAAATCAGAGCTTGTGTCTATACAGTTACTATCGTGCCTCTAGTGACAATTAATTTCTAGTTAATACTTATCAATTCCATTCATCTATCCTGGTTCACAAGTCAAAGTGCATCCAATAGGGTTTATTTTGCTGCCTTCCAACAAGCTGTAGTTTAGAATAAAATCCACTCATCTAACTTTGCTTGGACCAGTATTCAGCATGTATTTAGAAGGTTTTTTATGATAGGTTGAAGGCCAGTTTTGAAATTAGTCTTAGAACTTATAGATGCCTTCTTTGGTTGGAGTTGTTTTTCCTGCCATAAGTCGCTGTAGGAAAAGTATTGGTCTTGTGTCCCTTATATTGCCAGAGCAGTAGTACAAGACTCAGAATAACATTACGTAATTATATAAAGGAGTCAAGAAATTTTTTCAATCTTGACCAATGTTCAAAGAAATCACTGGAAAGACTTAGTCAAGCCTTGAAGCTGTTCTATGAATTCTACAACAACCATCATGATCTATTTTCTCTTTGAAGGCTGGATGTATTCTGATAGATTTAGCCTATTTTCAAGTAACTACCAGTCAGTGATATTGCTGGGTTGGATTCCCTTGTTTCTATGCAATTTCAATCATATGATCACTTCTGTGAACTCTTTTTATGCATAGTTGTCATTGTTCTATCACTACTATCCAGTAGCTTATACTTCTTCACCCAATGACAGTGACAATCCTCTGTTTATTTTTTTTTTCTCTTTATATATTTGCAGGTTATTTTCGGTGCGTGGAAAAATATATGAGCTTCTCGTTAACTGTATCCCTCCTGAAATCATTTTGAAGGTGAAAGATGCTTCGTTATCTTTGTTCTATGGGATTAAACTTTCTAATGTAATTATCTTGCTTCTTGTTTCGCAGAAGTTGCTGTCAGAATTATTGAAGAAATTGGACTCAGAATTAAAGCATGAAGTTTGTCATTGGGCTGCATATTATGTAAGTGTATTGCAGTAACATGAACTATTACATTCCTGTTATTTGCACATTTTTCTGCTACAGAGCTTTTTATCCTCGATTATTATTATCATTTAGTTGTTCAGTTCACGTGTAACTCTGGAGTAAATTTTCCTTGGTTCATTGACCAACCCTGTCTAGGACAGGTGGCCTTGGGTTGGGGTGGTTCATGTCAGAGCAATAGAAAGCCATGATGACAATTGGTGGTCAGAATAATGGAGGTCCAACAATGACGAAATGAGTTGAGAGAGATGAAAGAAGACATTTGTTCTAATTATTGAAGATTTTAAACAACATTTGTAAGTAACACCCACTACAAATGGGATTAAAGAATTTGTAGAAGATAGTGAGGGGTATCTATTTGAGTCCCTTAGAAATGGGGATGTACTGATCAAGTCTGAGTTTTAGTATCTACAATGTGGTGTATGATTCTGACACATCATGGCTTGGCTGAACTTGGTCAGACTTGGCCAACTCTAGCCATCTATGTTGATTTTGGCAATTCAAGTAGAGGAAGAGGCACAATCCTTTAAGGGCAAGGTCTGTGGTTGGAAACATGTATTATTTAAGAGAAAGAAGCTTTAAGAAGTCTGGGTGTTTACAGAAACGTTCAAACATTTAAACATTGTTGAGTACATTGAGCAGCTTTAAGAAGTAGATGTGCTGATGTTTGAATTGTAAACCTTAACCTTCTCCTCATGAATTTCATGGACATTGGGTCTTACTATGTTTTGTTTTAAACAAGATATATGTATAGTGCAAAGTTGGTTTTATGTCTTTCTTTGCAGATGTATAAGGTGTTAAGAGGTCTTTTTTTTTTTATAGATGTATAAATAATGGTATAAAGAAAATGGCCCCTTCTACTTTGCCACTATTGCTGCTGCTAGTTCACAGTGCAGCCGGTAACTTCCATTCCATTCCAAAATGAGTCTCTCCTTGAACAAAATTTATTTTGTCCATAATAGACAAGTAACGGTGATCATCCTTTAATCCACTATCGAAACTCTTCCTGATCACATGCACAAAAATGTGGAGACATGAGAAATGCTATGAAACATGTCAAACTACAGACATGATGGCGTCCAGTGCTGAGTCATTGACTTTTTTATTCTAGAGAAGATATAGTCATACATTATTAAATATCAGCAGCCAGTTGGCCATTTTAAGCAACATGATACTTTTTATCAAGGTTCGTCGTACCGTACCATACCGGCGTTTTGACCCGGGCTCGGTACCGGTACGGTACGGTATACCGCTCGGTACACCCAAGTGTACCGAGC